AGTTTTTATAGTGTTTATAAATCTATCCCCATTATTGCCATTATTGAAATCGGTCTATAGTTTTTTATCAATTGTATGTCTCTTTAGGTATAAGTGTTACATAAGCCTCCCTCCATGAGTCTGGCATTCTTGCCTTCATTATTAATTCACTAAATAGTTCCAACATTACATTACTCATCTCTTCTTGTAGTGTTTTATATAGTTTTATATAGTTCAGCTGGTAACCCATCCGGTCCTGGTGCTTTCCCAATTTTTTGTCCTTCTGTTAATTCCATCATTGTTATTCTGTCTTCTAACATTCCCTTATATTGTTCTGGTATTTTAGGTACATCTGATTTTTCCAAATATTTTATTATCTCTTTCTCTGAGATGTTTTCTTGGGAATAGAGCTTTCCATAATATTTTTGAATTACTATCTTCTTTTCTTCATTTCTATAGTGTAATTTCCCCTCTTCATCTTGTAAGTATTTTATTATTTTCTTCTCCTTCTCTTTTTTTTAATTTATATGCTAACCACCTTCCTGGTTTGTTTGCATTTTCAAAAAAAAAATCTGTTTAGATGCTCTTAATTTATTTGCTAATGATTCCTGTTCATTTAAATTTATTTCATGTTTTTTCAGTTCCATCAGCTTCTTAATTTTTTTATTTTGGATATCTTTTTGGAATTCTTTCTCTAGGTTCTTATACTCCACTTCCAATCTTATCTGTTTTTGCCTTTTCTTTTATTCTTTCTTCCCAAATACTTTATTGCCAAACCTCTAATATAATGCTTTCATCATATCCCATACGTTCTGAAGTGATGTAACTTCTTTCTTATTTATTTTAAAGAAAAATTCTAATTCTTTTTCCATAAACTGTTGAAAGTCCTTTTCATTTAATATTGTTGCATTCAACGTCCATTTTGTATTTTTCTTCTTTCCTTTCCATATTATTATCATTGGGCTATGGTCTGCCCAAATATTTGAACCAATATTTACTTCTTGTATATTATCTATACGTTCTGTTGACATCCATATCATGTCTATCCTTGACCACAATAAATGTCTATTTGAATAAAAAGTATATTGGTTTTCTTTCAAGTGTTTTTTTCTTCAAATATCTTAAATACTCAACTCTTCTATCATTGTAAAAAAAGATTTTGACAATATTCTTCTGGAATTTTTATTTGTCTTCATTGTTTTATACTCCAGATCCACATTTGTTAAAGCATTAAAATCTCCCATTATACATACATATTCATAGTCCAATTTTAACATTTTTCTGTGTAATCTCCTATAAAATTCTTCCTAAATTAGGAGTTCTAAAATAGAACTCCTAACTTTGGATATTATAATAATTTTAAATGTTGTTTTCTAATATGTACTTCTTGTAGGCATATAATGTCCATCTTCAAGCTACTTAATTTAGATAAAGTTCTGTTTCATTTTATTGCCACATTCAGTCCATTTACATTTAAAGTTATTGCTTTAATTTCTTCTTTCATGTTTTACTTGTTACTAGTTTTTGACTTCATTGCCCTTGTCTCTCTTTGTTCCATTGGATCTTTAGATCTCGCTCCGTCTCTAAGGGCTCTTTCTTCCATTGCTTTTTCATCTTTGTCTTTCTCTTCATCATTTTGCTTTGTCTCTCCTATAGCTCCCAAGTCTTCTTCTAGTGGTCCACAAAATTGTTGATAAAATAGTTTTGCTTTTTCAATGGAGTCAAGTCTATGTCTTTGTTCTTGCCATTTCACCAAAATTCCTTCCAGTATTAAGCATCTAAAATTCACTCCTTTTAGTATTAGGAACTTCGTTAGAAACTGATATTCTCTCCTCACTTCTCTAACTCTTCTAGGTATTTGTCTTAATACCACAATTTCTTTATCTTTGTGTTTCAGTGAACTATTCAAGAAATATCCCAATCTGCAATAGTAGTTTAAATACAAATAAATTAATGTGAAGGATGTTACAATTACAGCCTGATTAGTCTAATGGATATTATGGCTAAAACGATATCCTGTTCCTCTTGAGTAGAATTCAAAGTGGGAAGATAAAGAGTCTTTGGAAGAAGTACAAAGGATAAGAAGGCTTTTAAACACAGATAATCCTTTACTGACAATTGCTTTGTCAGGAACCATCTAATGAGACAATATATCAGTCAGGGGAAAACAAAGGTTTGCTCTCCTTATAAACCTTATTAATACTTATTAATAAATCAAACTCAAAAGTTATGGTCTTTGGAGAATGACATGAAAGCCAGGCTATTTGATGGTATAAGACAATAGTGGAAGTAACCTCATTCCTTACCTAGAGGTAGTTTTTCCTGAGACTGGAACTTGGCCCAATCCTCATCAAAGGAGCTCACTTAGGGCCAGGGCATAAGGCAATTTACCGAATAGATTTAAAAAGAAATTGTAGCTATCTTATTTATTAATCCCATTTACTATATTATATAAAGCCAAGATTTGCCAGTGCTCTAATATTGAGCTGAAATTTGGGTTAAAAAGCATCACTACTAGAACAAAGCCAATTGCAACATCTGAGAAACTTCTTGGGGTTGAATAAAAGGATCTCAGCTGGTGCCCCAAGAGTCCATTTAGGATTTCAAAACTTCTTTCTCTAAAATCTGGGCAAATATTTATTTTAAAAGGGAAAAAAAAAACAAATCCATTGTCTTTTGCCCGATTTATTAAAGTGCATGATGTCAAAGTTACCCGCATCTTATACAGAGCTGAAGTTTTGGATCAAAAATATATTGCTACTAGAAAAAAACCCAATCACATCATCTGACAAGTAGCTAGAGGTGGATAAAAGGTCTTCAGCTTCTGCCTCAGAGCTGAATTGGCAGCGGTTTTTTTTCCTTTGTCTCAAATCAGGGCACATAATTATTGATATAAAAATTAAAGCTATGAAAACTGACAGACTCCCAAAATTCTGTAAAAACAAACAACCTTACAATTAAAAGATCTCTTGGATGTTGTGATTTACAGATTATATTAAGAGATGTGATCTTTCTCTTACTCTTGTACAACTGGAATACAAGTTAAAATATTTTTGCAGAAAGAATCTGGGACATCAAAGCAGAGAAAGATTAAGCCATTCTCAATAAGTCTGACACATCGAAGCAGATAAGCGTCTAGTCACACCCCTTTGAAATTTTATTTTTTATTTATTTATTTTGTCAAGCATGTATTTTATGAGAGATACAAGTGTAAACATAATTATAAATACATGAGATGGATACGAATAAAAGGGAACATTAGGACAGGGATGGTAGGCACGCTGGTGCACTTATGCACTCCCCTTACAGACCTCTTAGGAATGGGGTGAGGTCTACAGTAGACAGTCTAAAGTTAAAGTTTTTGGGGTTTCTGGAAGAAACCACAGAGTCAGGTAGTGCATTCCAGGCCTTTTCAACTCTGCTATTTTGTGCTCTTGTATTGTTTTGGTTGAAGCTGGAGTATTCATTGGCTCGTAGGACATTGTAGCAGATGATTTTATGTACTATGCTTAGGTCAGACTGAAGACAGCGAAGTTCTAAATTGTCTAAGCCCAAAGTTTCAAATCTGGTGGCATAAGGTATTTTGTTGTGAGCAGAGAAGTGGAGGACTCTTCTTGTGAAATATCTCTGGACTTGTTCTATTGTATTAATGTCTGATATCCAGTGCGGGTTCCAGACAGATGAGCTGTATTCAAGAATTGGTCTGGCAAAAGTTTTGTATGCCCTAGTTTGCAGTTCAATATTACCTGAGAATAAATTACGCAAGATTAGGTTAACAACTCTTAATGCTTTTTTAGCAATGCTGTTACAGTATTGTGAAATTTTTAAACATGGAAATGGATGCACATCTTAGGCTGATATTTACACAAGCAAGATTTGAGTAGCCGGACACAATGGTTAAATATGTACAATTAACTAAGTATATCGAACAGACCTGTATTAGCATAAGTGATAAAATGAAAGAGAGAGATCAGTATCTTGGAATGCACATTAAATGAAAGACCTATTGCAATCCTTATATTAAGACAACAACATGTTTCCTCTGTGGACAGAATTTAAAACTTGCATATAATACAACTCTTTACTTGAACAAAACGGTTCAGCTGAAATCTGTAAATATGGGTCTGATTGCTGAAAAATGTAGAGGTGATAAAGAAATATGATTTGCATTCTTTACTCTGGTTCTTTAATTTGTCTCTTTTATTCTATTTTTCCTGGTCTTACTAATGTTCTGTGTTTAATATTCTGTATCTTGATATGGTCTACCAGGCAATCAACAATGCAATATTTTAATATGTTCATGACAAAACAAGTTGGATGTATTGAAATCTAATAACTGATCCTAAATACAGCATTCTTCACTGCTTTTTCAGATCCGTTTGACTGCTTCAGAAGTTCTGAGTGATAAAAGTCAATTCCCTTTTTTCTACCACATGCTCCCCAAATTAGGGATTCTCTACCCAGGAATTGTCCAACTGCTCCTCCATTTCAGATGGACCTTGATTGGTCTCTTTGCTTCAAACACAGAGCAGGGAGAGAATTTCATGAGGACCTTGACTCCTACACTTGTCAGGAATGGAATTTGTATTCTTATATCACAACAATTGTCAACCACTACACCTACAGCAATGCTTAGGGATGTTATCTCTAAGTGGAGGCAAGTCAATGTCTTTGTTCACTTCGTAGAATGTTATTTCCTTTGGGACAGAGTTCGTTTTTTCCATTCAACACTTAACAGTTTGCCAGAACCCATTGAAGGGAAAGTCTGGATACATGCAGGCTTTGGGGAATTGAAAATAAGAAGACACCCATTTCTCAAATATGTCCATAGTGTTTGGAACTATAACTTTCAATGGAGAAAAAGGCCAAATGATAGTTCCTTTGATCAAGATCTCCTTGTGCAACCACAGTTTGGAGATCAATCACTTCACTGTTCTTTTTCAAAAGACATCATTTCGGTCAAAGGCCGGAGAAGATGCATTCAGAAATCACCACTGAAGACCGACGTGGAAAGAAACAAGATGTGGAACCGATATAACCGCCTTGTTTACACTTTGATTAATATTCTGGCCCATGCCTTGAATGCTGCATATTCCTCCATATCCAGGAGGAGAAGGAAAGAGGGAGAAGAGAGGCTGGGGACTCAAAGGCTGCAGGCATGGCAGGTATGGGGTCCTGACAATGATCCATCAAAGTTACTTTCTCTGGAGAAGGAATACAAGGGAGAAAGGAAACTATCTCAACTTTTTGTGCTTCAAAAGGCCAACAAGTTTGGCCCATATAATCACTAGTGGATAATTTTCCAAAGAGCGGGTACCATGACGTATGAGAATAGAATAGAATAGAATAGAATAGAATAGAATAGAATAGAATAGAATAGAATAGAATAGAATAGAATAGAATAGAATAGAATAGAACAGAATAGAGTTGGAAGGGACCTTGGAGGTCTTCTACTCCAACCCCCTGCTTAGGCAGGAAACCCTATACCATTTCAGACAAATGGTTGTCCAATCTCTTTGTCAAAATTTTAAGTGTTGGAGCATTCACAAGTTCTGGAGGCAAGTTGTTCCATTGATTAATTGATCTCACCGTCAAGAAATTTCTCCTTAGTTCTAGATTGCTTCTCTCCTTGGTTAGTTTCCATCCATTGCTTCTTGTCCTGCCCTCAGGTGCTTTTGAGAAAATCTTAACTCCCTCCTCTCTGTGGCAACCTCTGAAATATCAGAACACTTTGTACTTTCACAATTGCAAAATCCTGTTATGGTAGCATTACAATAAAGTAGAATTAGCTCATCTGGCCATATTTCGTTTCTAGACTACCTGGGACAACATTAGCCTCACAACTTTCTTCCTGACAAATCCATGCTTTCCGGTAATTACCCTATTGTTTTCAAGGGCTTTATGAATAATCTTTGCATTTGTCTGTTTGTTCAATTTATTTGTGACCTTTCTGATATTTTATCAATTTTATCAATTATTTATTTTATCAATACATTGTTTGTCAATATATCATTGACAAAATTTGCTAAGCCTTTCTTTTTGTCATTTGAGGACAGTGATAGCACTTGTTCTCTGAATTCAGGATATTTGCAAGTTACACAACTTTAATAGAAAGATTCAGTTGTGAAAAGAACATGTGGAATAAGAAACCAAAGTTTCTCCTTTTAAGATTGTTGGCTGTTTCATTCCAGCTTCATCCCTTTCTGAAGAATGAATTTTGCAATCTTTCCCTGTTTCAACTGTACTTGGACCAAAATGGTGATATAGCAGCAGATCTGAACATCATGTGCATGTTAGTTTTTTCCGGGAAAGATCCCATCAGCAAACAACTAGGCAGTTTTGAAAGACAAAGAACAATTATCAATCCAGATGCTCTTTCACAGCTAAAGTTGCTCAACAAGGTGGGTGAAATATTGATGTCATTTCTCTGTTTTCCAAAGCCTTGAGACACATTTCAAGTGGCTAAGCCTATTCACCAAATACAATGACCTTCAGTGAGAATTGAATGTGGGAAGAAGAACCCTTATAGTTTTCTTAAATGGCTTGTGAGGCTTCAGTGCAGTTGGTAAGGTGTCCTTCAGATTAGTGGTGGAATTCAATTTTTTTTACTACCGATGGGCATGGCAGGGGAAGGATACCGCAAAATCTCCATTCCAACCCCACTCCAGGGGAAGGATACTGCAAATCCCCATTCCCTCCCCACTCCTGGGGAAAGGATATTGCAAAATGTCCATTCCCACCCCACTCTGGGGCCAGCCAGAGGTGGCATTTGCAGGTTCTCTGAACTACTCAAAATATCTGCTACTGCTTCAGATGCTGTAATATGGAACATACTAAATTGACTCAGTTGTGTCCAACATGGGTGATGATTTTCTAGGACACAAATCATGGCTACTTTGTGTCCCTGTGCAATCTGGTATCAAAACTGGTGAAAGGGGACATCAGGTGTTGTGGGTTTTGGTGCTGATAGCATCAACTTGTCTTTTTTTCCTTGCCTAAGATAAGCAAAATACAATGAAAATCTTTTGTCCAATGCCCAAGTTCCCAATGCGGTGAAAGAGGCAAGAATAAGTCTAATCAAGACTGGACATACTTCTTGTTGATGCCATTGGGAAAATTTGCTCTGAATTCAGGTTTATCTTGCCATGGTTGGGTAGGTTTATAGTCTGTGATATTCATAAATAGAACATACATGGTCAGAGTTGTCCATAGTTGTCTGTCATGCCAAGGGGATAAAAAAATAGGTCTTCTGCACCTGGGGAGAAAATCTAAGGCTTTCCATTCATCTAAAATGATAATGACTCTTCTGATGTGCCCTGAGTGAGAAAACTAAAGCACTGAAACAAGGTTTGATGCAAAGAAAAGAAAAGCCCTTCTTCATATTGGAAGAAATGAGGGACAATTTGGGGGAAAAATGGTTTTTAGCTTATCACTTCATATGGAACATCCTTGAATGCAATTGTTTATTTTCATTGTTAGTTACCTTAAATCTCTCTGGAAAAAAGGAGGCTCCAAATTTAACCAATAATAATTGTAGCTCTGTCTTTTCATGCCAATTGGTGTCACCTAATTGTAGTTTTTCAACAGAAAAGACCTTTTTTTGGATTGACTTTAGAAACATATCTTTCTGTCACATATTCATATCATGTCCCATGTGCTCATATTCACATCCCATGTGATACAGCAAAAAATGCCTGATTTACCATTTTATAGGAACACATTCTGACAACTCACCTCCATCTCATCTCATTCCAGTTCTGGGAACTAGGCAGTCAGTTTTAGTTTTAGTTCACCAGCATGGTGACCATATGAAATTATCAAATAAGCATATCAATAAACAAAGAACAGATTCATTAAGCCCTAATCTGTAGTGAAGTTTTCCTTTATACCTTAACTTTCAAATAGGGCTGGTTTTGCAATGATACATGTAGTCCAGAAGAAACCTTTCCAGATCCATCTGGTCAGAAGTTTCTTTCTTCATCACAGTTTTATTCTATATTGATAAATTTAATAAAATAAAAAATTCATAAACATTTTACAATAAATTTCATTCTAAACATTCATATGACTAAAGCATCTTAATTTAAATTCATGGGTACATGAAGAGAGGAGGAATGTATGCTAATATAACCATGTGGAGGAACCACTAGTTATGAATGCTTAAATCTTTTCTCCATTGCTTCTCTCCAGAATTTGTTAAGTAGAAACGTCCTTTCTTGCAATGTGATAGAACAAAAGCAAAAGGGAGGAACTAAATGAAGAATCTGCAATAGTTGTCTCTCTTGCAACATTGGGAGATTTCTAAAGATTTCTTATTTACCTAAGTGAAGTCCATCAACTACTTGACGAATGATCATGTTTATCTCCATTTTTAATTGATGGTTAGTTCTAACATACTTCATTTGTCATTCCCTGTTTTTTCTGCTTAGTCTCTGCCTCAGTCCAAATGTGTGGAAAATTGCCAGCCTGGATTTTTCAAGAGGGCTCGGAAAGGAGAGCCAGTTTGCTGCTATGACTGTGTTCCTTGTCCGGAAGGGAGAATCTCCACTCAGGAAGGTGGGTGACACCACAAAAAAAGGTATTGGATTAAGCCAAAGCATTTTGATCAATATGTGTGTGTGTGTGTGTGTGTGTGTATATATATATATGTTTTTCTTCTAGCCAGGTTTTCCCTACGTAGCCAAGGTTTTTTTTGTAGCTCCAGCCCAGTACAAAAAAAACCTTGGTTACGTAGGGAAAACCTGGCTGGTAGGACATTGTAGCAGATGATTTTATGTACTATGCTTAGGTCAGACCGAAGACGGCGAAGTTCTAAGTGGTTCTTCATTTTCAAGGTGCCCAATTTCCTCCATTATAGGAGGAATAAGAAAAAGATCTTTAAGGATGAGGTAGGAAGAGATAGAAGGACATGATGGATTATGCATGGTTACTTGTGCCAGAGGAAATCTCTCTTTTCTTGCCAGTTTGGACCTGTCCTCCCATTTTTACTTTTCTTAGGAACATCTGAATTCTTTGAAATTGAGGAATGCATTCAGGTCAATGGCTTTTGCTCACCCAACCCAGTTTATATTACAGCCCAAAATATATTGTACATAAATCAATCAATTAATTAATCAATCAATCTTTTTGTGGATCATGGAACCACATAAGCAAAAAGATGTAATTCAGGGGACCACGAAGGGAGAAGGTTTGGGTTCAAGGGACAAGAGAAATACACACAAAAGACTCACCGTAAAAGACATGGAGCAGTTTTGTGTGAAAGAAGGAATGTAAATTAAATTTATTGTTATTAGGGGTAAAGTTTGCCTTTTTTATTTTGAGTGCTTTAATTTTCCATATTATGGATTAAGAGGTAAAACACAAATATTGTTTATAGGCCAGTTCAACATTCCCAGATTCAGCATTGCCACTATCATGGTTTCCTTGGTTGGATTGTTACTGAATCTTCCCTCTTCTTCTTATCTTTCCAATTTTCTTGGATATTAAATAATGAAATACAAACAGTTATAACAGTTGCAAGAAGGAATACAGTTGTGGTTCTAAGAGAAAAAAAAAATCTTACTTCCATTATTGGAATTAAAAGGAACCACATCTAATAGAAAGTAGGAAGAAAAGAGAACTAATTAATTAATCAGTCTACCTAATATCTATTCATACAAATGTGGAACTCATTCAGTCTTTAAAATTATTACTAAATTTAGAAATTATGGTAATAGACTACTGCTTCTGATTTTTAGGCACTAAAATCATTGCAAAGAAAGATAACAGATTTTTTTTTTCTTGGATTACTTCAGCAATTAATTTTCCTTAAAATATCTGTTTACAATTTTATTTATTTGTGAAATTTATTGGCCACCAATCTTACCACAGGGTACCAAATTTATATTGCTGGCATCATACACAAAGGGTCTTTGGGTGTCATCCAATTAAAACAACAATTAAACTGGATGACACATTAAATACCATGATTACAAGAGGGAAATACATCAAGATTTTACACAGGACACAACCAGCGCACAGGGCTCTGGTACCACACAATGCCCAGGCCTGTTGAAAGAATACAATTGAAAGGAATTTGAGGAGGCCTCAAGGATAGTGGCAATCTGACCTTGGGGTTAGTTAATGCCTTTTCCCTCCAGGAATGGTGGTCCCACCATTTGCTTTGAAGGATGCGATTATGCACCTCATTCTAAAGAGTCTCTCCACGGACCCAACCATCTTAGACAAATTTTGTCCTGAGTACAATATTTGTTGAGAGTTTGTTGAGAGCATGATTGTCATTTAGGTACAGTACTGATGGCTGAGGCACAGTTCCAAGATGGCATTGGTTGCTTTCACAGATGATCTCTGATAGGAGCCCTGCAAACATTCTGACCCTTCTGGATTTCTCAGTGGCTTTTGATAATATAAATCATTATATCCTTCTGAACAGGCTTCAGGGTTTGGGAGTGGAGGCGGGATTTTCCAAAGGTTTTCCTTTATTCATGGTTGCTTTCAGTTGATGGGTTCTTAGGGAATAGAGGAGAAAACCTAGGCCCTGCAATGGGGCATCTCTCAGGACTGGAGTCTCTCTCCTTTATCTTTTACGTGAAATTGATAGGTGAGGTCATTTGCTGCCATGGGCTTGGTATCAAAGTATACCACCCATGGCTTGTTAGATGGTAGTATTGTGATGCTGAATATGACATCCATAGAAGATCTTCCTTGAAAGGTGAAAAGAGATATAAAAGAATTTTCTGTTTTCTCAGATACTGAAAAATGCACCAAGTGCCCAGATGATCAATATTCAACCGAGAGCAGAGTCCAATGTATCCCAAAAAGAATAACCTTCCTCTCCTATGAAGAACATCTGGGCATTATCCTGGTGTCCATTGCCCTACTCTTGTTCCTATCCACAGGATTCATTTTAATCATATTCATTAAATACCTTGAAACTCCCATTGTCAAAGCCAACAACCGGGACCTCTCTTACATCCTCCTGGTCTCCCTCTTGCTTTGCTTCTTGTCCTCCTTTTTCTTCATTGGACGACCAAGGAAGGCCACCTGCCTTCTCCGACAAACTGTGTTCAGTATTGTCTTCTCAATAGCTGTGTCATCTGTGTTGGCCAAAACTATCACAGTGGTGCTGGCATTCTTAGCCTCAAAACCAGGGAACAAAATGAGAAGATGGTTGGGGAAGAGCTTGGCCAACTCTATCATCCTTTCTGGTTCTGCTGGACAAATTTTCATCTGTGCCTCATGGCTTGGAATTTCTCCCCCATTTCCTGACTCTGACCTGCACTCCCAGCCTGGAGAGATCATCCTTCAATGCAACGAAGGCTCTGTCACCATGTTTTATGTTGTCCTTGGCTATATGTGTTTCCTAGCTGCCATTTGCTTCACTGTAGCTTTCCTGGCCAGGAATCTGCCTGGGGCCTTCAATGAAGCCAAGCTGATCACCTTCAGCATGCTGGTCTTCTGTAGTGTTTGGATCTCCTTCCTGCCCACCTATCTGAGCACCAAAGGAAAGTCCATGGTGATTGTTCAGATCTTCTCCATCTTGGCCTCCAGTGCTGGACTGCTGGGCTTCATCTTCTTCCCCAAATGCTACATTATAATCCTGAGGCCAGATCTAAACACTAAGGAACGTCTAATGATAAAAGTAGGGACATGACTGTGATATTGTTTCTTAGGCATGTAACATTTAATTTTTTCATTGCAATTGTTGGGCTTTTGTATTCTTCCTTTGCATTAATGTGACAATTAAGGTTATTTAAAATGGAAGGAAATAAACATATAAAGACTGTAAGACTAATGAAATTAAATTCCAACATAATCATCAAACAATAAAATAAACAATTAATAATTAAAGTTGTCATGCAGCCAGAGATGAACAAGCTAAGAAATAATAGTTATATTAAGTAAAAACAGCTGAATAGAAGAGAGAAGTCTTCCCAAAGAGAGAGGGAAGGAGTCTTTTGCCTGAGGTGAATATGAAACTCTAAATCTGTGTGAACATGGACACTTTACTGTATGTGACTTTTTCTTGAAAGTAGATGTGAGCAGTGGAAACTGGGTATCAAGATCATGCAGATGACTCCTCATCCAACACTCTGGTTGCCTACATCAGTTATTTCTGGAGGTGTTAGGTGAATTACAGATCTTATGGGACCTCAGAATTCCATGACTTTCTGTGGAGTCACAATTATCCTAATGTTCTGTCCCCCGTCCTTACACAGACAAATGCAATATCAAACACGCCTGCCAATAATTTATTGTATAAACAGACCAGAATTCCTGGCAGATGAGGGTTCTGGCAGCTAACTGTAAAATGCCTGCCCAGTCCAATTAGTACTCCCAAAAAGCAGGAGAGGCCTTATCTGCAGTCCATTTCCAGAGCGACACATTATCCACAAGACTTTAGTCCGAAATATATCTGAGCCGAAGTGCAGGATTCATGATGTGACTCTTTAGAGTTTAAACTTTTGTCCGTCACAAAGCCTGCCGAGCAATCATGCCCCCTTTTATCCCTTGTGGGGTGTGGCTCAGTGACTCAGCTCAATCCCTGGCCCTCCCCCGCTTGCTTCTCCCTCCGACGCTGGCTGGGATCACGCCAGGATTCATCATTATCACTCTCTATCAATGGGTGCTCCGAAATGCCTTCCTCCTGGCCCATCCCAGGCTGTTCCTCCTGGCCTTCGGATGGAACCTGAAGCATTGCCAGAGAGGAGGGTCCTGGAGAGGGAGGCCTTGTCAGTTCCTCCCCTTCACCTTCTGAGTCCTCTTCCTCCACGAGGACAGGCTCGGGAGTTGGAGTCACAACACCTAACATCCTTTCTGGACATGTCCAAAAGGCAGTGCCCCTGCTTCAAAACAGCACCTGGAAAGATCCAGAGAAGGAAATGGGAAACAGCTATGAATCCAATTGGTCTCTTATCCAATAAGGCATAGAATCCTCTTGTCCCCAAATCAGAAGCTTTCAGCATTCTGCTATGTGAATGGGAAAATAATCCCATTTTCTATAGATAGAAAATGGCAGGAGGGCATTTTCCCTGAGACTTCAATGTCTAGAAGAACTAGGGAGCTTCAGGAAGAGTCCACCTTCTCTGGAAGCTACCCAGAGACCAACTGTGTTTACCACACCCAATCCTAGGAAATTTTAAAAAATGCAGATTTCAGGCATATGGGAGGCTATGTGGCTAGATAGATCGATAAATAGACAGACAGACAGATGATAGATAGATAGATAGATAGATAGATAGATAGATAGATAGATAGATAGATAGATAGATAGATAGAGCGGTGAAATCCTCCCGGTTCTATCCGGCTCACCGAACTGGTAGTGCAGGCAGCGGGAAGGTTCTGTGCATGCACAGAAGAGGGGTGCATATGTGTAGCATGTGCACTCCCGCATGCTCACGTTCCTGAACTGGTAGTGAAGATAAGTGGATTTCATCGCTGGATAGGTAGGTAGGTAGATAGATAAATATATAGATAGATATTCTTTTTTTTTTGAACCACTGATAAGTAGATGTTACAGACTCAATACTTCAAAAGGATTGGAAACTTGAACAGGTTATTTGGG